TCAGCAAAGTCTCACTTTTCCAGGTGGGTTGAGCGGTATATTCATTTCATTTCAGTTTTATTAAGGGAAAAATAGGCCAATGCCTTTGAATGGGCTATTGGTTAAAATATCGTTAGGGAAAAGGATCAATAGGTAAGAAAAATGAAAAAAGACTTTGGTTGCGTAACAGCATGCAAAAAGAAAGTAGTCGAGAGTTAGATGAGTACTATAATTACATATCGTTGACCCAATTGTGAAAAATTCGTGGCCCTGGGGGGATTCGAACTCACACAAGAGGGGAGGCTTTTTTAAAGCCAGCGCTCTGCCATTGAGCTACGAAGGCACGCCGTAGCTTTGAATTTAATCACACTTGGGTCGATTTATCCGCCCATCCCGTCCATACGTCATGTTTCGTCATCTAGTGTGGAGTGGTCAGGTGGAAGCTCCACACTCGGTACTGGATATGTATATTCATACTGGTTGGTTTTTGTCCTATAAAGCGCGGGATCACTCGCTAATCAGAAGCCCGCTACCTCAATAACCTGCCAATGGGGAGCAGAGGCACGGGACTGTCCAAGGGTCAACAATACCAAGTTTGCCCAATCACAAATCATTGAAGACATGTTTTACTGGACGAATTAATTACTGAGACAAAAGCCTCATGCCAGCGTGTGTCAGTGTCCGCTCTTAAGATTCATAGCCCTCAGCGCGTGTGTGCATTTTTTGGCTTGTCGTCTGCAGCCAATCAGTGAATGAGGCAGTTTGATTGGCTTCGAGTTGTCGCGTGCCCATTTTCAAGTCTCATTGGGCTTCGGCAGCGAATGGGCGGAGGGCGTCAGTGGCCAATGCTGCCTGAGGGGACAATGCAGGGTTCTGTGCACAACAAATTCCCCACTCTGGTGACTTCTGTCTTTTACCTACGACTTGGGATTTGGCCTGGAGATTGTAGACGCTACAGACCCACGCCAGCAAGGGGCCTCGATGGATCAGTTGAATAGAGCGTTCTCTGTATATTAAAGCATCCCCTTGCTGGCATGGGTTCGAATCCCACTCAGGCCACCGATTTTTCACAATTGGGTCGAATGAAGTAATTCAGTTTTGTTTTGGGGAACATTCTCACTGCTGACCCGTCGCATCTCGACACGGCTATTTCATTTCATCTCCTATGTGGGGGAGGAGGGGAAGGTAGGACAGCGTTTGGCCAT